TTGGAAAGCAAAACGTTCAAAGGACTACGTGATTAGAATATATAAAATAACTTACGACTTTATAGCATGCGTTAAGAAATTGAAGTCGTGTAATATGAGGAACTCTTTAAGATCGTTGGTCAACTTCAAAAGTTCGTCACAAGCTCTTACCTGAAAAGAAAACTGCGCAAATCAAAAACTTGTCTAAGAGATTCATTTTTTCAAAAGTTATATACTTAAAAGCCATAGTATATTTTCTTTAATAATTGCTTTTGTAATCTTTTGTAGACAGATAGAGCTATATGAAAAGAAATATCTTCGACAGAAAAATAAAGCACTGACGATTAGAGCAGCACGTGCGGCCATTTCGTTTTTAATTGTGTAGTATTCAGTCATTTTTCCAGAACTGTTCTTATGTGCAGCATCGTCAGTGTTGATCTAAATACGAGTATAACAACTGATTCATCGTTTCAGCATATCAAAAAATCAAGGAATTGAGAGAGATTTCAAGCGGGGGCAAACCTAACCTTTGTGGCATTCAAGATGTTAATAAAGTTGTCATTGAGAGAGCGAATATTGTCACGTAGTCGTCGTTTATATTCTTGAATGATAAGAGTTTTCGTAGCAACTGATCTACTACTGCTCTTCTTGCTTGCTCCACCAGCAACTCCGGACATTATTGCAACCTGAAGCTTACTTATAACTTTCCTTTAAGGGAAATAGCATACACATTTATATAGTACGAAATTTTCCTAGCTGCTGTCCATTAGCTGCAATCCAGTACAAGAGAAGGTTTACATCCTGACTATAACCATTTTTTTTGTCACAATTTGATTCGGCAAAGAAGCTAGCTAGCAAACTCAGCTTGCTAGGCCTTCTTTTGCGTTAACAAAAACTACAAATGTGTTGCTTTTTGATTTTCTGCTTTCGTTTTAAATATTACAAATATTCTTCAAAGCCGTTTGGGCTTGAGCCAAGTTGAAAGTGTGCTTTTCTGTTGAAAAATTGATTCTTTTAACAACTCCTTTTTATTTTTCTAACCTCTTTCTGTTTCAGGTATCAGAAGAACGTAAAACGGGGAGAGTTATGGGTTTAAGTACCTGTTATTCGCTTAAAGCGCTATTCTTTATTGAAGGAGGCTCAGCTTATAAACAGTTAAG